ATGTAAGTTAGGTAGGCTCCGATCTGTTCAAAGTAAGACTCTCAAGTCATGACCTCTACCCTTCTTGTGAAAAAGCCATTGGTTGTAAGTCACTGCCAGATAGCAGGTTCGTGTGTTTGGGTCCTGACCCACTATTAAAACAGGAAGCGGTGTACACGTGTGCCATGCACACACACATACATGCTCGTGAGGAAGCCGCGTGCGATGTAGGGGTGAACACTATGGATTCTGATTGTAAAGCCTTGGACTTGGATGATTCCCTTCATCTTTTGAGCCTCCGTTTCCTCATCTGAAAACGGTGGCTTACAACACACATGTATTGTGAGGATTACATGAGAAGAAACGCATTAAAAAATGCGCGGCATGACAGAAGCACTCATAAAACATTAAATAAGGTGGGTTTCTCTTTTGTGACAAGAGGCTAATTTGGGGCAAAGGAGAGTGATTTGCCCCTTCAGCAGGACACCTTGCTCCTGATTCAAGCCACTTGAGTCACCAATCCCCAGATGAGCCCCAGGGGAAGGGGCCGCTGAAGACAGGACACTGACGCCCTGACCTTGGATGGGTGCAGGGCCCCTCACTTCCCCAAGCCAACACCACTTGCATCAGCCAAGCCCAGAGGAGCTGGGTGTAAGCACAGATTCGGTTTCAGTTTTTATTTAAAGATCTTAATTTCTGGACACTTATTTTGGGGATTTCAGCGATGGCTTAAGCTCCTTTAAGACATTCCAAGTTGAAGCCTTTCCTTCACTTGGCTGCTAAAGTTTAATTCAGTCTAATTATTTCATATGGCACCGACTATAATAGTTTCATAATTTCTAGTATATTAAGCACTTAATATGTTGTGTCATTTGGAATCACATATTAAATTCAGCAAAGTACATTTTAATGAGAGTTAAGTGGTGTGAAAATATTAATACAACGTGATGGTTCATCTTGACGCTCCTATTTTGTAGGTCTGCTCCTGATGCACAAATGCCTCTCTCACCAGGTACGGGAAGGATTTAACTGCCTGAGGCTAGAAAGGATGTCTGGGGAGACCCATGTGCCCACCTTTTGCCACATAGCACTTTACAGTGGGATTTCCCATGGAGCCTCACAACCCTATAAAGCAAGTAGGGAAATGGTTATTTCCATCTTAGAGATGAGGAAACTGAGGTTCACTGCTGGCTCTCATAAATGTGGCCCTTCTTGGTTCAAAGCCATTGTGGTGTTTCCCTGGACCATAGCTGGCATTGGTGTGGTCAGGGTGGGGGTGAGTGCTATCTAGGCTCAGGGGAGGGCAGTGAGCATCTGTGGGGGGTGTCATTTCCCTCCCACCTTGCAACCCCACAGAGAATAACTGACAGAACCATCGAGAAGCTGGCAGACTTTCTACTTGGACTTGTGATTCTTTTTGCACCCTCTTTCAGAGTGCCCCTTCCATGCCCTAAACCTAAGCATTTTGTGCTCTTAGGCTGGCCTGGGATTGCCAGAGAAAACGGTCTTGGACTAAATCACAGTGAACTCTTCAGACAGCAACAGCTCAGACTAAGGAGGCTTCAAAGGCAGGCATTAAGGAAACAGAGAGAGAGATTTTAGAGCGAGCCTCACAGAAGCCTCAAACGGGGCTCGTTTATCCCATCGCGGTGCAAAAGTTGGCTCTTGGAGCCAGAAAGATCTGGGAGCAAATTCCAGTATCACTGATTAGCTCTGTCTCTTTCCTTCCCAGGCCTAGGTTTTCCCCATCAGTAAAAGTGCTTATCTCTGAGGCATGGAAGGGAAACGGAACATCAGAAGAAAGGGCAAGGATTCAGATTAAGCTCAGTGAAGAGGAGTGAGTGGGTCTAGGAGCCTGTGTGCTGTCTCTTCCCAGCGACATAACTGCCACCAGGACTTTCTGTGACTCACACCCAAAGCCTTGAAGCCCTCTGGGTGAAAACGGTCCTCATCACAGCCAAGAAAAGAAGGTGCAGATTTCCAGAGCAGCTAAGAAACAGTCCCTGTAGCAATTTAAAAAGAGGAGCTATTTTCACTCTTTAAAAAAGTGTGTTTCGGGGCACCTGGGTGGCTTAGTCGGTTAAGCGTCCGACTTTCGCTTAGGTCATGATCTCACGGTTCGTGGGTTCGAGCCCCGCGTCAGGCTCTGTGCTGACAGCTAGTTCAGAGCCTGGAGCCTGCTTCCGATTCTGTGTCTCCCTCTCTCTCAGACCCTCCCCACTCATGCTGTCTCTGTCTCTGTCTCTCTCTCTCTCTCTCAAAAATAAATAAAACATTAAAAAAATTTTTTAAAGTGTGTTTCACCCAGGCAGGTGCAAAATTAAGGAAAGAGGACCAAAATAAGACTAAGAGAGTGGTTATGCATCGAGTATTTTATACCTACCATGTACCTCCCACATGCCCAGGGCCTATTCTAAACACTTCGCAAGTAGCAGCTCATCTAATGTGCTCGGCTGTTCACGTCAAAACTGAAGTCAGTGACATGAAACAATGCTCAGCATCCCTCCTCATCAGGGAAATACAAATCAAAACCACACTGAGATACCACCTCATGATGGTCAGAGTGGCTAAAATGAGCAAATCAGAGGACTCTAGATGCTGGCGAGGATGTGGAGAAACGGGCACCCTCCTCCACTGTTGGTGGGAATGTAAACTGGTGCAGCCCCTCTGGAAAACAGTGTAGAGGTTCCTCAAAAAAAAAACACTAGAACTCCCCTATGACCCAGCAATAGCACTGCTAGGAATTTACCCAAGGGATACAGGAGTGCTGATGCACAGGGGCACATGTACCCCAATGTTCATAGCAGCACCTTCAACAATAGCCAAAACATGGAAAGAGCCTAAGTGTCCATCAATGGACGAATGGATCAAGAAGATGTGGTTTATCTATACCATGGAATACTCCATGGCAATGAGAAACAATGAAATCTGGCCATGTGCAGCAACATGGATGGACCTTGAGGGTGTTATGCTGAGCGAAATAAGTCAGGCAGAGAAGGACAGATACCATATGTTTGCACATATAGGAGGATTAGGAGGAGCTTAACGGAGGACTGTGGGGGAGAAGAAGGGGAAAAATAGTTGGGGAGAGGGAGGGAGGCAAACCATGAGAAACTCTTGAATGCCGAGAACAAACTGAGGGCTGATGGGGGGGAGGGGAAGGGGGGTGATGGGCATGGAGGAGGGCATTTGTGGGGGTGAGCAATGGGTGTTATATGGAAACCAACCTGACAATAAACTATTTAAAAAAACAAAACAAAAACTGAAGTCAGTGTTCAAACTGCCCTGCTGGGCACGTCCTACAGGTGGGGGAGAAAGCCAGATATTTTCAAAGTTCCAGGCACAAAAAAGAGATCAGGGGGAGGGTGAAAAAGTATGGCCTGGGCTATGCGCCCCCCCACCCCCACCCCGCCAAATCCAAGCTGGGGAAGGGGCAGGATCATAGGGCACCACGGAGGTCAGGCATCTGGGATGGATTAGAACTCCTCTAACCACAGCAGGGGCCAAGCCGGAAAAGCAAGGGCTGCAAGCTCAGAGGGGATTAAGGAAGCTTGGAAGGAGCAAGTCCCCTCCAGCCATAGCTGACCCTGCCTCAGGCCGCCCTCTGAGCTGTCGGCACACATCTTCTTCCACTCGCCCCTGCCCCCACCCCTGGTTTTCTTCACGGGGAGGCCAAGAAGGAAACTTGAAAAACCTCATTTACACTGGGTGATTAGGTGGGAGAGAATACTTCAAAAGAGAGCTTACAAAAACAAGGTTTAAGTCAGAGCATGTGCTGCTCAAAGGGATTTGTAGGACCTGGGGTGGGGGTCCTCTTTCGTGCCCCTCCTCCTTCCCCCCTTCCCAGCAGCCTTGCTCTGTGTCTGGGGCCTTAGGAGCTTCTGGGCCAGGCCTGTGAACTCGGCACATCCCTGCCCTACAATTCTGGGTAAAGCCTCTTGATGCCACCAATGCCATTCGACCCCAGGGTCCCGGGCAAAAAGGAGGCCATGGTTGCTTCTCCGTATCCACGCTTCTTCTACCCTCTGGCGGGGCTGATGGGAATCCCTGGCCCTTCTCCCTTCAAATGAATGACATATGGAAACACTCAATGTTCCCAGGCTGCAGGGGAAACACTATAGTTAGAGAATCCTGAGATCTCCTGTCTTCACTGACCTGTTTTCAATATGCAACAGCCCGTTTCTTCATTTAGCAACATTTCGTTAAAGTTGGCTCTGACCTCTCCCACTCAGAGTGGCAGGAAGCTCCACCTCAGACGGGATTGCGCGGACCACTCTGCATCTCATGAGGTTCTGCAGCCTAGGACATTCAGGGAAGACTGTCAGGACTCAGGCCACCTCGGGTCTCGGAGCGGAGGGGAGACACCAGCTCTGAGGGCCAGCAGGGGCCGGGGCTCCCACTGCAGCTCTGAGGCTGTGCAGTTTTCTCTGGCATCCACGTACCCCTCCCTGCTTTCAGTGCCGTCCCCTTGAGTCTCTCCTCACCGAGTCCCTCCAGACATCTGTCCTCCAGCTTCATGCCACATCCAATCCACCTTGTCCCCTCTCATCCCAGCCCTCCCCCTCCCTGCACGCTGGGCCTTCAGGGCTCAGAGGCAAGTGTTACATGGTTCAGCAGGTCTCAGACCCTAGTGCCCCCTGCGGACTGCTCCTGGGATGGTCTATGTCCCTAGAATGACCTGCATGCTCTACCTTTCTAAAATAGAAAACAGTGGGGTCCTTGGGTGGCTCAGTTGGTTAAGTGTCCAGCTTTGGCTCAGGTCATGGTCTCACGGTCCTTGGGTTCGATCCCTGCGTCGGGCTCTGTGCTGACAGCTCAGAGCCTGGAGCCTGCTTCAGAGTCTGTGTCTCCTCTGCTCGACCCTCCCGGGCTCACGCTGTCTCTCTCTCGCTCTCATAAATAAAGAAAAAACATTTTAAAAATTAAAAAAAGTAAACATTTTTAAAAAAATAAAATAAAATAGAAAACAAAAAGTTGAATTTTTACATGTTGCTATTTATAGTCTCAAAAAAAGTCCTTCAGTTACCCAGTTACAAAAAAAAATCACAGCATGTCAAAGCTGAAAGAGATGTTAAGGATCTTAGGGCTGTCTCCTCGCTTTGCAGAGAGGTGGCGGGAATTGGGCAAGGTCACAGAGACTGATGCAGGAAGAGATGGAAACTAGAACTCAGATCTCCCTCCTCTGTAACACAAAACTGCTCAGTAAGAAAGACAAACAGACAAAAACAAAAACAAAACCTCCAAATCAAACCAACCAGCCCCCCCCCCCCCAAGCTCCACCTCCGGCTCAAAATAACACATACTGGTGTAGCCAGAAACGGTGAACAACCTGGTCCATCTCCTGCTGGTTTTCGCAATAAGGCAGTTACGACCCATGAGATGTACCTGTCACCATGACAGGTGTGCGCATCAACTGTGACGAAAAGGCTCTTCTTCTAAATAAATGAATAAAAACGTGGATGCTAATTGAAGATTAGCATCATCTCCCATCAATGCTAATACGCTTTTTGGTTATTTGCAATTCCCTTTTGTAAATCTGAGGGAAACATCATTGCCCAAATTAGCTCTTTTCGCTCAATGAAGGCCATATTAGCATTCTGAGGTTTGTGTTTGCTTACTGCTTATTTAGAGAGAGGTCAGATGAGAAGCTGGGCGGCCTGCACCCGATTTCCATGTCGCTGAAGGCAGGTGGGGGGAAGGAACTCCAAAGTCCCCAGAGGCCAGGCCAGGTGCTCCCAGGCTGTGGTCTGAGTCAGGCTCACCGTGATGAGCCACAGCGCGACCGGGAGCACCGACCGACCACCTCCACAGTGGCCTCTCCCGCCTGAAGGTCTGGCCCAGATGGGTGACATTGACTCAGGGAGCTCCCAGGTCTTCCTCTGCCCGGCCCTGTCTGTTGGGCCCTCTCCGGGCTGCATCCATATCGAGTGACAATTCGAATGTGCCCTTCTCTCCTGCTCACCTTCATCCCCAGTCACTCTGTAAACCCCACGTTTGCTCGGCTCCCTTGCTGGAACCGAAGTCCACAGCAACACGCAGCCGCGGCGCTGACGTCACAGACGCTTGCTGTGTGGTGAGGGAACTAGCGCAGGAAGGAAAGTCTGGGCTGATAAGGCCTTGGGAGCCTTGTCCAAAACAAAAGGGGGGCCGTACTCCTGGCCCCAAATCTTTCCTCGCGCGAGTTCCAGTGTGAAGAGGAAAAGATCGGTTTCTGAAACCAGACTTGCCTCCAAATCCCAACTTCCTTCACGACTGGCCGGAAAATTTGGGCCTGGATTAACCAACTAGAGCTTGTTTCCTAACCTGCAAATTGAGGGGAAGGGCACGGGTCAGCTTAAGGGCCCGGCCCAGGGCTGGACCAAAGCGAGGCGACCTTTCTCGGTCTGCCACACCTCGAGTCACACTATGGAAAGCGCTGGCCGCAAGCGCACGCTCGGCGCCTCGCCCTTGGCTTCAAGCACCGACGCCGGGCCCGAGCACCCCAGGGGAAGCAGCGGGGCGCCAAGAGCCACTCGGCCGCGCGGCGACCCCGGGCCACTCTGCCCGGCCCCTTCCGGTGCGCGGCCGGCATTTCCAGCTCTCGCCGGGTCGCGGGTCCTGGCGCGGGGACGGCCCGACCGGCTTTCTGTGGGGCCATCGCGCGCATCACGGCCCCTCGTCCCCCCAAGATGCGCTGGCGCCGCTCACGCGTAGTTTCGGGGACACCGTGCTGCGCGGTTCTCGGTGGAGCCCCGCGGGCGACCCCTGGGGGCCCAGCCGGGACGGCCAGGAAGAGGCGCGCGACCGCGCGCACCACGTGACCGAGTGAGAGGCCCGCACCCTCCCGGGGCGCGCAGAGGTCGGGCGGGCCGAGGGCCAATTTCCCATGGTCCTTTAATTTGCATATACAACGTTGGAAGGTTAGAGAAATAGAGTTGATTTGGCTGTAATCACAAAGATACAATTATCGTGTGTACGAGATACACAAGGTCATAACGTCTTCAATATTTAGTTTTTTAAGAAGCGCAGTAAAGTCACCATAACTGTAAAAGTCTTTGGGTTCTCTGCTTTATATACTTTCCTCGGGAGCTTGCGAGTCGTGCTCGCTTCGGCAGCACATATACTAAAATTGGAACGATACAGAGAAGATTAGCATGGCCCCTGCGCAAGGATGACACGCAAATTCGTGAAGCGTTCCATATTTTGCACCTGAGTTTACCCCTCCATGAAGACACTTTTTCCTTATAGGTTCTATCTTTTGTTTCACACAAAGGAAACTGTAGTCCCAGGAGACGGAATAAGAGAAGGTAGGGCGTAGACAGATTTTTATCTTGGTCGTGCTTTCTATGTCTGGCCCCAGTCTTCGATCTTTTCCATCTCACCTCTGCTTCCCCTTGCACTATCCTGAGTCCCACGGTACCTTGCACGTCAAGAAACGGCCTTGCCAAAGTTGACCCACTTCAGGTCCAAAACAGAACAGGAACCGAGTGCTGTGACAGACAAGGTGGCTCTAATAGGAACGCGCAACAAGACTCACTTCTCAGGCTGCCTCTGAATCTTAAAAAAAATAATGCCCACTCCTAACTGAACATCTACCGTGTGCCAGGGGCTTCACCAATATCCTATTTTCGTTTCCTGCCTTGTGAGTCCCGTTGTCACCATTTTGCAGGAGTCCTCGAGAGGCAAAGCAACCTGGGCGTGATCACGTAACGGGTAAGTGGCTGTGGCAAAACCTTCAGAGGCACAGGCCCTGAAAAGATGGGCGCCCTGCCCCCGCGTAATGAATTCAAAACCACAGTCCTAATTAGTAAGATGGGAAGAAAAGTCCAATAAGTTTCAGATTTCCCGCGATGATTTATCAATGTTTTTTGGAGAAAAAAAAATTTCCAGGAGAGAAATGTGGGTGCAGACAGGAGCCCCCGAGGCGCCCTAGGCATCGGCGGGTCCTCTCCCGGCGGGCGCTCGGGGCTGCCGAGCAGCGTTCCATCAGGGATCCATTTCTGTTCCCTTCAGTGGACGTGAAATGATCCTTTCCAGGTAACAGCAGAGAATAGGGGTCTGTGGGACCTCTCACTGCACCTTCTCCTCGGCTCACAGCCTCCAGTGGATGGAGTTGGAGGGCAAGCTTTGGTTTTCTTTTCTTCCCCCAAACATGGCTCTTAGGAGGAACTTGGGCAAATGGCTGAGTAGTTTTCAATGTCTCCTGGGCATGTTTCAATGCCAAACAAGGAAAGGACCAATGTTGATGTGACTCTCTCTCCTTCCAAAGAAACTTGCCATTCCTCTTTGTATGACCCATTGTCTTGGAGCAGAAAAGAGGGAAGAGGCAAGTCTTAGTCCTGGAAAACCCAGACACCTGGCTGACTTTCCTAGCTCTGCACTGTTCTATGAAGTAAAACTTCTTTCTATTCCTGTTATAGATGAGGAAGTTGAGGCACAGAGAGATTCAACAACTTGCCCAATGTCACGTGACTAGTAAATGGCAGAGAAGGGCTTGAGGCCCAGGAAATCTGGCTAGAGAGCTTGTGCTCGTAACCAAACACTATGCCACCTTTGAAGGTAAACAGTGAGAGACAAAGCTGTTTAGAATCAACGGAAAGAGCATGCAGGTTCAGTTCTGCTTTTGTTGGTGTTCTGAATTCAAGGACAGGAGCCGTAGTTTTGCAAAGGATCTAGGCTATCCCTTAGATCCAGGTAGGTAGAATAGGTGTTGGGTGAACTGGACCCTCCTTGGGGCACAGCTGGAGAAGGAAGAAAGTTTTCCTAGGCCGACAATGTCTTACTAGACACCTGCCTCCTCCCTCCCCCCAATAATCCTATTAATGAAGGGTTGTCTGACCACTAACCTTGTGCTTAACTAATATCAGGCAAATGAGCCTGTCTCCCAATAGCTGTAATCCAGAAGCACTTAGAGACTCCTCCCCTGAGACATTTCCAGCATCCAGATAAACCGCAAAGTTGGAACCCCTTCATTTAGACATCTGTTGAGCTACTATGAGGCACTGGGCCCTGTGTGTTGGAGAATACAAGGAAAAGCAAGATGTGTGTGGCCCCTGCTGCCAGGCACTTACAGCCCTATGGGAAACACACACAACCAAGGATAACTCAGAGAGGGGTGTGCACTCTTAGCTTTAGGAACCAAGTGCCACAGGAATGCAGAGGTCAGTCCCAGGAATCCGGGGGTCTGCCGGCTGTTTTTTGCCAACAGGTTACCCAGATTTGCAGGATGAAAGGAGGTGGGGATTTCTCCCAGTGGTTGCAAAATCAAGCCCCCAGATGCTGACTGTCCACCAGGGGCTACAGTCTACTCAGTTGCTCCCCCTGGATTTGCTGGGATGGGTGAGACTGTCTAACCGCATCTCCTTATGAGTATTCGTGAGTTTCTCCGCTGATCAAAAGGTAATCTGAGGTCGAGTGGGTATGTTTATCTGGTTCTTTATCCTCAGACCCCGGACTCCAGAGCCGAACCTGCTGCGGGCACCTCCTGGAGTCAGGGGTGTGAAACCAAACACCTCAGAAGGAACACCCAGGATGAAGGTCTGTGCTCCGTAGCCCGCCGGCAATTCCCGAAACCCCACTTTTTCTCCCAAAGACAACGCTCCCGAGTCTCGGGCCTTCGGGCGCTGGCTGTAATGCCTAAAATGTGTCGCAAGGTGGCAACGTTGTGGCGAGAAATAGACTTTTTAAAAATCCTGGGTTTTTTTTACCAAAGCATATTTTCCCTATTAATGTTTCATTTAACTTAATTAGAATCTGGTAAACTAATTAAAGTAGCTACGAGACCCGCAATCAGCAATAATTCGTATAATTATTGATAATTACATCCATACCAATCGTTTGGTTATTAACATTTGGGGGAGAACAAACCACTTCTGAAGGGTCGAGGAACCCAAGAGGGTTGTTTTTGCGACAAAGCTTTCTGGGTCGGATCCGCCCACACCTCCAGTCTGCAGAGATTCCGGTCCAGATGGGGCGCCCTTTCGCGGGAGCCCCCCGCTGCCTATGGCTTTTTTCCCCCTCCACTTTGGGGAATTCGTTAAGGGAAGGTGAAAAGGAATATTTGCTAGGCTCCTCTGCCCGGGACGCGGCCACGGAACGTCCTGCCTGGGCAGCCACTGCAATTCCCGTTGTACAGAGCAGCCAGTGCTGCTTGCAAAGGAGCGGTCACGTCAAGGGGGTGAAGCCTCGTGCTGTCCCCCACACCTGCACTGTTCGGCGCGTCCCAGCACCGCTCGGCCCTGGACGCAGTCACTTACTCGCTTCCTCTCCCGGCCTCAGTTTCACCGTTGGCCCAGTGGAGAACCGAGAGGGTTGGTGCCACCCATAGGAAACGTTCCCGCTGCCTGGAGGGTCCGTGCTGGGGGATCGCGCATCCCGAGGCGACTTGGTCCCTCGACGACACATCACAGTTTAGCCACTGCTCTCATTGCCATTATCTCTCTCGTGTCCGCTCTTGTGTCTAGCCCTCCGAACGTCCCGGGACTGGGGGGGGGGGAGGGGGCTGTGAGCCCTAGCGCAGGGGGCCCCGGGGACCGGCTTGCGGCCTCGGCAGTGCGCCCGGGGGCTCCTCCCCCGCGCTGTTTCCTGGCGGCGGGCGGCGGGCTCCCTGCTCGCCCGCTCGCCCTGGGCCCTCCAGACCACCTGCCGCCAAACTTCCCGACTGGCGCAGCCCAGGGCTCCCCGGCCCGAGGGGCTAGCCCGGCGGGCGGGGGATCGCAGGAGCCTTCTGAGACGCCGGGCATGTCGGAGGGCGAGGCCGGCGGGGCGACGGACCCGGGGACCCCGCGGCCCTGCGCCCCGCTTCCCTCCCAGAGCGCTTCCCCGCGCTCGGGGGGCGGGGGGGTGAGAGGCCTGAATATTATTTTACGCGGGCCAAAACGGAGGCCTAGAAGAATGAAGGGAGTGACATAGAACCCTTGGTCCTCAGCCGAGGTGGTGAGGCTGGAAGTCAGGGCTGAATGATCCTCAGGAAGGTGCGATTTCCCTCTCCAAGCACACTCATCTCCTCCTCCAAAAAGTGCGCTG